ACCGTAGTGGAGGTCATGGAGGCCGTACTGGTACCCGTTCATGTACTTCTTGTGCTCATGCCAACCACACTATTTATTATTGTTAGGATTTACATGAAACCATATGGCGCTGCTCATCAAGTCTTTGGTTTGGATGAAACCACCTCCCCACTTGTTACCATATCTTGTTCGGCTCCTCCTGACTCTGAGTTAGTTACTATTACATGGGAGGAGTATGCTCAGCTCATATCTCGATACTAGACAGTTTCATGTTCCTCCACTACTATTTTTATCTAGTCAAGTATCGCTTCCACTTATTTATTGTCCTCCACCCACAGTCCCAAGATTATAGACTCTGACACTTCTGATCACATGACTAGTTCATCTAGTGTCTTCTGTATTTATCATTCTATTACTTTCCCCCATAGTGTTACTCTTGCTAATAATACTTCCTCTAATGTTTCAGATTTGATAACTATTCACTTGAGTCCTAATATGTCTTTATCATCTATTTTATTTATCCCTAAATTTTTCTTTAATTTACTTTCCATTAACAAGATTACTCGCGCTCTTAATATTTCAGTAACCTTTTACCCTTATTATTGTGTGTTTTAAGATCTTCAGATGAAGAGNAATATGATCTTAATGAGGTGCAGGGCTTTGTATCTAACATTCGTGGGGCTTCTCTCTAAGAAGAAGATTGTACCGGGCCATAAAGCTAGTGGTCTCTATTACTTTGACCTTAATCCACCTCCTCGGACACTTTAGATCTCGTCGTCACCCTGTCAGTGGCATTATCGTCTTGGTCATCCCCCTCTCCAAAATCTGAAGCATCAAGTTCCTAGTGTAAATTTTGTGTCATCTATGTCTTCTGATGCTTATCAACTTAGTAAGCATCACCATGTGTCCTTTCAGTCTAGAGTTAATAGCGGTGTGTCTAGTCTATTTAAATTAGTTCATTCTTATGTATGGGGATCAATAAAGAATATTTCATCTAATAAATTTTCTTATTTTGTGTCATTTGTGAATGATTATTCTCGTGTGACTTCATTATTTGTTATGAAAGTTCGTTCTAAATTATTTTCTATCTTTGAGAGCTTTCGTAGAGAAATAAAAATCCAGTATGGTTATCCAATTCGTATTTTACGTTCTGATAATGCTCGAGAAAATGAATTTGATTATTTTTCGTCTTATCTTCATAAAATGGGAATTATTCATCAAACTTTTTGTGCCTACACATTTCAATAGAATAGTGTCGCTAAGTGTAATAATTGTCGTATGTTAGAAGTCACCCATGCCCTATTATTCTAGATGAATGTCCCTCGATATTTTTTGGAGTAATATTGTTCTCACGACCTATTATCTTATTAACTATATGTCATTCTCTGTATTAAATGGTCAAAGTCCATATTCTATTATTTTTTCAATACTCTCTTATTTTTCTTAACCTTCAAGTTTTTTGGGAGTGTCTATTATGTTCATAATTTAGGTCCCAAATTTGATAAACTTGACCCTCGTACTACCAAATGTGTCTTCCTTGGTTACTCCCGCACACAAAAGGGTATCATTGTTATAGCCCCACACTTCGCTGGTACTTCACTAGTGTTGATGTCACCTTTACTCCTGTTCCGTATTTTTCAGCTCTTGCTCTGCCTCAAAATATTGATTTTAGGACATCACCTACACCACCAAACCTTCTCTTATTGTTGAACATTCCGCTACCTACTGTGCTTCCACTCTCTTCCCCGATCCGTGTCTATTCTCGTCATCCGTGATTATCGCCAGAGGTGCCCCTACTGTCTTTCTTGCCGTCTACAAATCCTAGTCCCTTAGGTACTTCTGATTCTTCACCTATTGCTTTTCAGAAGGTACTTGATATTGTGTTACTAAACATCTCATTGCTAATTTTGTTTCTTATAATGCCTTGTTCCCGGCCTTCTCTTGTTTTACCTCTCAACTATCTACTATCTACTATCTCTATTCCTAAAACATTACAAGGTGCATTATCTAATCCGGATTGGAGAAAAGCTATAGAAGTAAAGATGGATGTTTTACATCATAATGGGACTTAAGATCTTGTTCCCTTATCACCCAGTAAACAGACTATTGGTTGTAGGTAGGTGTATAACGTTAAATTTAACCCGGATGATTCAGTTGAACGCCTCAAAGCTCGTCTTGTTGCTAAAGACTTCACTCAGACCTATGGTGTTGATTATAAAGAGACTTTTTCTCTTGTTGCCAAAATTTTCTCCGTTCGTGTATTAATTTCTTTGGCTATTAATCTTGATTGGCCTTTATTTCAGTTTAATGTCAAGAATACCTTCTTACACGATGACTTGGCTGAGGAAGCCTACATCGAGCAACCACCTGGGTTTACTACTCAGAGGGAGTATTGTAAGAGTATGTGTCAGTTAAAAAAATCTTTGTATGGTTTAATGCGGTCACCAAGGAAATGGTTTGTCAAGTTTTTACAATTATAAAGTTTGGTCTTCTTCGATATCAGACAAGCCACTCTATCTTTCACAGACTGACAGATATGACTATTGGTTGTTCATATGGATGATGTTATAATTATTGGGTAATGATTCCAAGGGTATTGTCAAGTTGAAAACTTTCCTCCTAGACTGATTTCATACTAAAGAGCTAGGAAAACTCTTGTACTTCTTCAGTACTGAAGTTGTCATATCTAAGTAGGGTATTTACTTGAAATGCTAGAAGAACCAGGTTTTGTGGGTGACAAACAAATTGATGTTCCTATGGATCTGAATCAGAAGTGGTTAATAGATGATGGAGCACTGTTTAAGAATTCATGTCAATACCATAGGTTAATTGGGAAGCTCAATTATCTCACTATAACCCGACCGGATATTGCCTATATCGTTAGTGTGATAAGTTAGTTTATGGGATGCCCTAGAATACCACATTAGGAGACAGTCATTGGCATTCTTCAATGCTTCAAGCATGCTCCTAGTTTTGAATTGTTGTATCGAACTAATGGACATCTTAAAGTAGAAGGTTTTTTAGATGCTGATTGGGCTGGTTCTGTCTCGGATCAGAGATCAACCACCGATTATTCTACCTTCATGGGAGGTAACGTCATCTCATAAAAAAATTAAAAAAAAAACAATGGTAGCACGATCTAGTGTTGTGGCTCAGTATATAACAATTACACATACAACTAATGAGTGATATGTTTACTACACTTTTTGCGGGAAATTGACTTTCCAGCTCAACTTCCTTTACAATTATTCTTTGATAATCAGATAGCTCTTCATATTGTTGTTAATCTAGTATTTCATAAAATTATCAAACATATTGAAATTCATTGTCATTTTATTTGAGACAAGATATTAGATGAGGATATTGCAACTCTAGGCCTGTTTGGTTTGTATCTTAAAAAACAGTATCCAAAAATAATTTTTGAGAAGAATTTTAAGAAAGTATTTTTGAAAATTTTTTGATTGCAAAACCTGTTTGGTTATATATTTTTTTGAATAGTTTTAAAAAATAAAAAATTATAAAATCATTTTGGCCAATAATCCACAAAATTAATTTTTAACTTATTACTTTTGACCAAAATAAAAAAAAATCACACTTATCTCTCAAGTAGTCAGACGGTGCCCACCATCTGGAGCCTTCCTCTCTTTCTCTTTCTCTCTCTCTCCACATTATCTTCTCACAGGAACAGCCACACATGCATACACACACACAAAACACACACACACAAAACACACGCAGACACAAAACACACACACACATGCAAACACACAGATCTATGCTCAAATCTGTGTATATAAACAGACCTGAGCACAGATCTGTGTAGATCTGTAGTTTTGTGAGAGAGGGGTAGATCTGAAGCACAGTGGAGAGAGAGAAGAAATAGGGAGATCTAAAGCACAGTGAAGACGCCGGAGAAGCACAGTGAAGATGCCGAAGATGAGGATGTTGGGTAAAGTGGAGAGAGAGAGGAAGGAAAAAAAAGAAGACATTGTTTGCTGCTAAGGGGACTCGAAGCTGCGACCTCATTTAGCTTGTCTCCGTGTTTCCAAAATTTCCAAAGAAAACTGTGAAAATAAGTTTAACTTGTTTTCTATTTTTGTGTTTCAAATCTCATTTTTTTCTCAAAAATTTGAGAACAAAAATGTTAAGCAAACAAATTTTGGGTGTTTTTAAATTTTTGAGAACAAAAAACAGTTTTCCAATCGCAAACCAAACACGCCCACTATTTTTGAGATCTGAGGATCAACTTGCAGATATGTTTACTAAAGCATTGAGTTGTACTCAACTTACAACCTTCTGTTCTAAGCTTTAATTATATGATATATATAGTCTAGCTTGAGGGAGAGTGTACTATAATATTTTTAGGGTTTAATATTGTTGTAATATGTATACCACACAGGGTATACTTGCCCTTTGTGTGTTTATTGAGTAACTATAAGAACAAGTTGATAGTGAGAGGTAGAGTATGTTAAAATCTCTCTTTATCTCTCTCATATTGTGTTAAGTCTGTCTCTATTCTAAACTTAACAAACACATACCCAAAAAATATAACCAACTATACAATAAGACCCCATCTCTGACCAGAATCTGGAATTTATTTGAATTACAAAATTACCGCTACTTTGAATTAAATAACACAAATTGATCTACTTTCATTCCATGAAAAAATCAACCACCCTTTTAAACCCAATATACTATGCTCCTTGCTCACATCAGAGTCCCCAAGATAAGTAAGTCTCGTCTTGGTTCTACTACAACATGGAGAAATACTAAAAAACACAATTTCCATCTAATTGAATATAATAAAAGATTAAGCAAAAGAATTTAATAATAAACTAAAATTGTATGTTTGCAATTAAAACTAAATGCAATAATCAAAAAATGGAGTTATGCACAAAAAGAATACACATTTGCGGCCAGTTCGAACACAGTTAAAGTAGCGGTATTTTTCTAATTATAATTTTTTAATACAAAGTTTCTAATGGTATTTTACCATTGATATGTCATATTAAGGTGCCATGAACTATAATTTCAAAGATCAAGGGGATCAACAAAAACTAGATATTCAGGAGCGATTTGCCCTCCTTTTAATTCACATTATGCAGCCCAAATAGAGCCAGAATTAAGCTGAACATTTGAAAGAGAAAAACAAAGAAGAGGTAAACAATATGTCTCAATCCATCAACCAATAATTGTGGGTATATAGGATGGCAAGTTGCATAACTAAATATATGTCAATAATAAAAGTTGGAACATAATTCAGAGTGATATGGCTTGAGTGTAGTTGAAACTCTAACAATGCAACAGTTTGTAGCACACTCATTGATATGAAAAGTCCCCCCATACTCAACTAATTTTTCAAGTCAATATTGATATGTCACCTGAGAATTTCCACTCATACAATACTCATGCATTATCCATTCTGTCCTCTCCCCTTTAGGTGCACGACCAGTGTGGAACACCAAAGTCCTCTTTCTGCCAATAAGATTTGAGCCAGACTTCACATTACGTTCTTTCCCAGTGGCTTTCCAATAACCAGATGCAGTAGCCCTTCTACTCTGTGAGCCATTTGGGTACTTCCTTCCACGTGGAGAAAAGAAAAACCATTCATTTGGTGACTCAATAACAGCTTTGCCTGCTTCCATATAAATGAGTACCAGCCAACAGAAGGCATTTTAGTTAGGGAAGACCAAATAAGCACTAATAGTCACACTTGATCATTAAACATTAAAAACAAGCTAATTCCATCCATCAATAAAAAGAAGAATGAAAATGTCTAAACAGAAGTTCCTTCGTTGAAGATATCTACATAATAGAAGTTTACTAGTATTCAGCCAATGCAAGAGTGAACCTGGAGGATAATGTAAGGTTTTTTCCCTTTTTCCTCTTTCCCTTTGAAGAACGTTACACACCACATGAGACACCTATAGACGTTACCAAAGATTGTAAATTTTCCTCTAAGAACAAAAAGAAAGATCTGAATGTTAAAGCTTATGACCACACTGGAAACTAAGACAAGACTCGTCGTGCATCATTGGTCTTGTACAAGCTTACTAAAGCAAAAACAAAATAGAACAAAGTATACAGAAGATCGATGAATTTTCCTATCACGCCCGAAATGGAGGGAAGAAAAAAATTGAAGAAAACCTCAAGGTCTCAATTTCAATATAATAAGAGAACCCCGAATTAATCGATGGGCGTAACATTTGTGCATCCCAAATTACCGTTGTGGCCATGAGCTCAAAGGGCACCTAGTTGGGACAATTCTTGGTCAAACCAACAAGGAAAAACAAAATAATTGGATATGAGACATTCATATAGGTAATTTCAGTGGAACTATCAATGACCCCACAAAGACCATGTCTGCTTGTTGCAATGATCCTTATTCTTCAACAATGGGTGAAATGAGCGGCATCAATATATATTTGGTTGCTGGAAGTGTAAACCTCCACATTCTTATCTTTATATAATAACGTAATTATTTTGAAATGCTCATATATGTAATGATGGAAGCATGAACTATATAGATTGAAATAGTATAGATAAAAAGTTAGGCGAGGTAAAAAGTTAGGTGAAGTAATAGTGTGTAGTAGAAGTTAGAAAATATTCCAGAATTAAAGCACATTTTAAATAGAATTCGAGTAGGAAATAATTTGACATTGTCTTAGTATTTGGACCATAATTTTTTACTCTGATGTCTGTTTGATCTAAAATTTTTACAGTAGACACTAGATTTCCAAGGGTACAAAAGAGTATTTCACAAAAAAATTTTAAATTAACCTCTAAATAGGCCAAAATTTCATTGGAAGTTCAGCTAAAAATGGGAGTACATTCGAACGTGAATAGATCCGTTTCGAACGACAGTTTGTCCCAGTACTTTTGTGTTTGACAGAATTCAAATGGAAAAGCAAAAGTATTGAGAGCAAGCGATGTTCGAACGCCAAAATGGCGTTCGAACGTCAGGTAGATAGTTCANGAATAGATCCGTTTCGAACGACAGTTTGTCCCAGTACTTTTGTGTTTGACAGAATTCTAATGGAAAAGCAAAAGTATTGAGAGCAAGCGATGTTCGAACGCCAAAATGGCGTTCGAACGTCAGGTAGATAGTTCGAACGTGAGGTCGCAATTCTAAGTATTATATTTGCGCCGCTTGGACCGTATTCTCATACTATAAATACCCAAGGATGTCTTCCCTTGCCCTATTTTATCAATTCTAACTCTAGAGAGTCTTGGAGAGCAAGAAAGAAGAGGAGAAACACGAGATTAAGGGGGAATTTTCACGTTGGAACAAATCAAACACGCTAGGTTTTCACACAAAAACTACTGAATCGAGGTTGGAGATTCTTCTTGAGTTCTTTCATTGAGACTTAGGGTATAATTATGTATGTTTTCAATCTTCTTGATAATTATATGATAAATATATGAGTTCTTGGTTTCTTTATCATTGGAACATAGTCTTGAGCAAAATATATGTTTGGGTTCAAGGAATACTTATTCTTGAATTTTCAAAACCCTAATTTTTTTAAAATACATGTTATATTGTGAAATTCATATGGATTCTTGATTTCTAAATTCTTATTCCTGATTAAATCATATTTTCATCTAATATTTGTTCTTGTTCCAAGAAATTAAGATTTTTGGCTAAATCCTAGAATTTTGATATCGTAATTGTGAATATTTTCTTGAGATGATCTCTTGCATATTTTGATTTCTTATTACTATAGTATATTGAAAATTATACAATTGTGATATTTGAATTATTAATAAAAATTGTGATTAATTAAGATTGTGGTTGTTGAAAAAATTATGGTTTCATCTATAATATGGTATGTTGTGATGAACTTGAATTGCCTTCGAAAGCTACTGTAGAGTATTAGAAGTTAGTCTATCCCAGTGGGGTGAAATAGTTTCCTAACACTTGTAGTAGATTCTTGTTTGTGAGAATAACCACTATTGTTCATNAGCTACTGTAGAGTATTAGAAGTTAGTCTATCCCAGTGGGGTGAAATAGTTTCCTAATACTTGTAGTGGATTCTTGTTTGTGAGAATAACCACTATTGTTCACGTAGGTTCGAGGCAGAGAGATGGTATACCTTTCCTGGGAAAGATTCATCAATGTTGTGGGAGACTGTATACACCCTTCCTAAAGTAGTTTGTGATTTGACCCTAGGAAAAATGATTAAGATTGTGTGGCTATGATGGGTGAATAAGGTAGAATTGTTGTGTAGATTCCTGAGAAGCAACCAATATACATGAGAATGAGGATGAATTACCATACATGAGAATAAGGATAAATCAACATACATGAGAATATGGGATAATGCTACTGCGTTATTGATTGATTGCTTCAATTATAACATGTTTAATCCTATCATTGATTTATTTTATTTCTGTACACCTGAGATCATTATAACTGTCACTATTTTATTTTCAAAATGGTATATATGTTATTTTCCAAAAGAGACTTACCTTCTTTTTGTTGTTTTAAAAACTTTGTTGGAGTTTGAGAGGGATTTCCTACGGACTTTTGTTCACCCCTTATAATACATTACAGATTTTGGTAACGAGAAGGATGTCAAGTTAGATGAGCAGGTTGATCTCGAGGCTATAGAGGGTCAATATGAGGATCCTGAAGTGGAAGCTTAAAGATGCTTCATTTTAGTTCTAATTACTGTATTTGGAAAGATTTTTATAAAACAATGTTTCAGTTAGTTTTATTATTCCGCTACTAGATATTCTTTGATTTTGGATTGTAAGTTAGAGAAGTTTCAATGTTTGTTGGTTTTAGCATTTATTCTTTGACAGATGAATGAATGGTTTATTAATTAATGGTTATTTTTAGTTGCTCTCATGGTTGAATGATTTATAGATAGTAATGTCTTCCTGGTTGAATTTTGGATCATTACAGGAAGTCTACACACTCTCAAAACTAAGATCCCTTCATGGCAAGGCACAACAATGCACACTCGCTTACTCACTCCCCCCTCCTCTTTTCTCTAACAATCTACTACAACATCAGTTTAATCACAATTTTATGTATCATCCCAAGGATGATTCTTCCTATGCTATCAAAAAGCTGAAGACTAACCCCTCGCTTTTGTGCTCTTCACTTTCAACTCCCATATGGCCTTGAAACTTTGGTTTACAAGACACGAATGTTGGTTAAAACATTTGAGTTTTTATTGGGAAGAGTGTTCTACTTTATAAGGTTTGTAGTCCAACAAGAATTAATTTAGAGTTGAGGGAAAAGAGTCAAACTATGTGACACAAAACCTATGAAAAAATGGATGCCTTGGACAATTATAAATTTTGATTGCAGATAACTGGATGAGTATCCCTAGGTCTACAATGTAAAAATAACCATCCCAGCATCTAGTTTCTAAAAATAACCATCCCAGCATCTAGTTTCTATGTTAGCATGAGACATTCGTGTCTGGTAGATTATTTAGCCACTTGACCCCAAGTGGGACAACCCTCATTCCAGAGGAATCTTTTTTGCATCAATTTTTTTGGGTAAACCTGTTGCATCAAATTTATGGACAAAAGGCTTACACCAAAGAAAACATATCAGTAATAAGTAGTTGCAATCCTTTGAGAAAGAAAACAAAATGTATGTTATGCAAAAGAGGCGATGAAATACCGGAAGATAAACAGGGAAAGATCATCGAGCCATAATTTCAACTAAGACTTCCTTCCCTCAAAGTATAATTTTTGTTGAAGCTATGAAATTAAATAAATAGCCTGAACCTTATTTTATAATCTCTTATTGAGCCATAATTTCAACTAAGACTTCTTTCCCTCAAAGTACAATTTTCGTTGAAGCTATGAAGTTGAATAACTAGCCCGAACCTCATTTCATAATCTCTTAGTTGAGACTCATTATAAATTTGGAGCCAGGGCCAACTTTCCCTTGTCCCCACCTCCACCCCCAACTATAAAATGACTCCAATGAAATATTTTTTTCAATCGACATATCAAACTACATTAAATAACTCATCTATGAGTAATTTTCCTCCTCATCTTGGAAAGATAATCAAAAAGGTGTTAGGAAAACAAAAAAGACCCATTACAAAATATATCCTTACAGACAGACACAATGCAAGGCACCCATTTTTTTTTTTTGAAATAATCAAGGCACCCAATTGAAAGATAAAGAACTTCTAGCAGTAGGATGNATTACAAAATATATCCTTACAGGCAGACACAATGCAAGGCACCCATTTTTTTTTTTTTGAAATAATCAAGGCACCCAATTGAAAGATAAAGAACTTCTAGCAGTAGGATAGGGGAGTGCAATTATTTCATTATGTGGAGCTTAGGCTCTGAGATTCAAAGACAGTGACAAATGACAAAAATACATGCACGCTGAAACAAAGATGAAAAGCTTAGACAGGGAATATGCAAAACTTCTTTTATTAATTTCTCCAATATTATAATCAACCTAAACGCTTAAGATAATTTAATTAGGCCAATTTGATCAACATATTGTACTCGCAATTCCAAGACAAAGGTTCAATACCAAAGTTGCTTTCAGAAGTCCAAGTCAACATGAATAATATATAGAAAGAGTGAACACCAAAATTTGTCACATCAATGCACTAGAGATGTGAACACCCTAATATATTGACTGAAGGATTACTATACAGTTGACAGTTTTGTTGTCCTAGTCTCCTACACATTCTCTTCCAGTTACACAAGTGGGGTGTTAAAAGCCGGAGATATGAATGCCACCAGCCATACAAGGCAGTAATAACTTGCTTGCAAATTCAATTACTGTAAGAAATCAAGTTTGTTGGAGTTTTAAAATATTTCTAAAAGGATGTTGCAAACTTATGGTGAAAGCAATTTTATCAGAGGGAATTCTATGAGTACCATTTGCAGCAAATCCCATCCAAGTTCCCTCCTTGCTCCTCTTTCCTTCCCAGAGCAAGGGGAAAGACAAAGATTTGTTGGAAGGAAACGTGGAGCAGAAGAGAACGGACTCAGACTCTCCAGAATAGACCATCACAAAGTATCAAGCCAGTAAACTAACATATTTATAGGTTCAAACAAATCTATAAAATCTTTGTCAAAGGGTTTTGCACTTTCATTCCAATATTTATATCAAGCCATTACAATTGGCCTTCAAACTACCACCAAAACTAAGGAAAACTCAATTTTCGACTACACATAAAGAATTGCCTTTGTTATCACATATTCACATCTCTATCGCAGACAATATGTTCCAGCTCAACTCAATCAAATGATCAGTCCTCTTAACTCTTGTAGCTAAGAGGATTTTCATATGTCCAGTGTCCAACATTTATTTTGTTTGTTCATCTTCCACAAATCCTATCCTTTCAACAACCAACTATTTATTGTCTACACCAACCTCATCAATTATCCTTTCAATAAGCAATATTACAAAAATGCCCCAAATGGCAGGATAAAAAATTTAAAAAAATTGCCTAAAAAGTGTACTAAACATCATTTTTTTTTTAACTTAAAAACGACCTTGCAAAGATTTCTGAAATCAGGTTTTTTCTAATTTTCTGACACTGTCGCAAAAATCAGCCCGGGTGCATGATCAGTGGACCGTCTTGATCTGTCAATCTAGTCTTCCGCTGCATCAAAAGTGCGATTTACAAACACCAAAATTTCAAACACACAAGAAAGAATTTCATTTATATCTATATCGAAAAAACTCCTTATTAGACAAATAATGAAGTGACATAATAGCGCCATTACTATTTACGCGCGCTCACACAGGACACCGGAATATGAATTAACCGACGAACTTACCAAATCCGGTAACCATTTTTATTCAGAGAAGAGCATTTAGTATCATCAAAAAGCATCAAGATAACAATCATAGCAAGAGAAATAACAATAACAGTGGAGCATATGATATATATAGAAATACGCATATTTATAGCTAACCTGCTAAGTCCCATGGCTCGTATTTACAGATTTCGACCTCGGAAATGACTTCGACGCACTTGTCAGAACCTTCGAGCTTCTTTTTTAGGTAATAAGATACGAGCTCCTCGTCCGTCGGCGAAAACTTAAACCCTGGAAACATCGACGACGCTGCTATTGAAATTCCCATCTCTCCAGACGTCTGCCCCATGTCCACACCCATAAGCCAATATCCCTCCCTCCCTTCCTCTCTCTCTCTTCTCTGTACGTGTGTGCGTGGGGTGAAGAAATAGAAAGAAGAGAAACGAATGCTTTTCTTTCTGCTTTCGGTTGCTTTGCGGATGGGAAAGGCGTAGTACAGTCGTAATATGTCTGCTCACGAAGTTAAACGAAAGGTGCAGTTTTACCAATTTATCTTTAACAGGTTTTTATTTTCACCGAATTATCCATTTTCACTTTATTTATATCTTTAGTTATTGTCTATAGCTAAAAGAGCATACTAATAAAAAAATAATTAATAATNATCAGGTTTTTTCTAATTTTCTGACACTGTCGCAAAAATCAGCCCGGGTCCATGATCAGTGGACCGTCTTGATCTGTCAATCTAGTCTTCCGCTGCATCAAAAGTGCGATTTACAAACACCAAAATTTCAAACACACAAGAAAGAATTTCATTTATATCTATATCGAAAAAACTCCTTATTAGACAAATAATGAAGTGACATAATAGCGCCATTACTATTTACGCGCGCTCACACAGGACACCGGAATATGAATTAACCGACGAACTTACCAAATCCGGTAACCATTTTTATTCAGAGAAGAGCATTTAGTATCATCAAAAAGCATCAAGATAACAATCATAGCAAGAGAAATAACAATAACAGTGGAGCATATGATATATATAGAAATACGCATATTTATAGCTAACCTGCTAAGTCCCATGGCTCGTATTTACAGATTTCGACCTCGGAAATGACTTCGACGCACTTGTCAGAACCTTCGAGCTTCTTTTTTAGGTAATAAGATACGAGCTCCTCGTCCGTCGGCGAAAACTTAAACCCTGGAAACATCGACGACGCTGCTATTGAAATTCCCATCTCTCCAGACGTCTGCCCCATGTCCACACCCATAAGCCAATATCCCTCCCTCCCTTCCTCTCTCTCTCTTCTCTGTACGTGTGTGCGTGGGGTGAAGAAATAGAAAGAAGAGAAACGAATGCTTTTCTTTCTGCTTTCGGTTGCTTTGCGGATGGGAAAGGCGTAGTACAGTCGTAATATGTCTGCTCACGAAGTTAAACGAAAGGTGCAGTTTTACCAATTTATCTTTAACAGGTTTTTATTTTCACCGAATTATCCATTTTCACTTTATTTATATCTTTAGTTATTGTCTATAGCTAAAAGAGCATACTAATAAAAAAATAATTAATAATAAATATATTTATACTCACATTTAAATTAAATTACAAATATAAAAAAAAAAAAAAATTTAAGCATCGATTGTAATAAGATGGCCAGTGGTGGATGACAATAATGATGGTAGGAGACAGTGATAATTGTGGTGGGTAGTGACAACAGTGATGGTGATAATTGTTGTGGCAGAGAAGGTGGGTGGGGTGGCGGTGGTGGTGGTGGAAAAGTGGGGGTGATGTTGGTGGTGTGCTGACGTCAGTGGTGGTGACCACAGTGAGGGTGGTGGTGGCAGGGTGGTGATAACAATGGTGATGATAGGGGGGAGAACAATAGTGGTAACTGCAGCGACGATGGTGGTTGTTGTGGCAAATATGGTGGTGAGACGGTGATAGTGATAATGGATGTGGGGGTGATGGTGGTGGTGGGGGGAGGTAATTGTGGTAGTGGGTTGGCCGTGGTGGTTGTAGTGGTGATGATGGTGGGATGATGGAAGTAATAGTAGTGGAGTAGTTCCAAACATTACTATTTTTTATAAAAAAAATATTATGAGAAGTTATAAGTTATAAAAATATTTTTAAAAAATCACTTCAAACACACCCTTAAAAGTATATTTTTCCTATTAAATTTGTAGTGTTAATATTAGCTGTCAGATTAAATTTAAAGTAAATTTTAAAGAGATTTATACTGAAAAAGCAAAAATCATTTTATTTATTTTTTAAGGTTTGAATTGTGTTGTACTTTATTATATAGATTAGCGATAACTTGTGTCTAAATGCACTGTGCAATTTAAAAAAATCGAATATTAATCGTAGACACAAAAAAATCAAGTATTAAATATAGATATGTACTAATGAAAGTCTAAACTACATCCTTAAGATACTAGACACTGTAATGGAAAAAAAATGCAAATCAAAAAATAGAAAAATAAAGAATTAATTGGTGGCATCATTTGTATAGATCAATGGAACATGTGTAACTCATCAACATGAGAAAATCAAATAAATACATGAAAGCAATTGTAACCCATTTACATAGAAACAAAGGTATCAATGGGCAGAAGGAAAACACACTATGCACACTAATATTAGAATAGCAAGCAATTGAAATTTCTTCAAATCACATAGCAAATCACTTTCTTTGCCAATATAATTACCTGTTCAAATGAAAAGAACCCAGCACAAATTCTAGCTTATAATCCAATAGAGAGCTCACAATATTATGGAGAAGGGTAAAAAAAAAGTAATGCAATATAAAAAAATAACTCCAAGAATTTCTCTCAATTTTCAAGATTATGTGCAAAAAATTGGTAGTTTCCATCTTCAATATCAACATAGAAGTTAGTTCCATCAATGATAAGAGCCTCAATTTATAATACAACACATCTACCTACCAAAATAATTCGTTTGACGCTTGATTTTGGGTCAAATCCTTTAGTAGACACAAATTTATGAGAGGGGCTTTAAATGCCTATATTTCTACAAGAAATGACTAAGTAAACAATAAGAATCTCGATAGTAATTTTTTCTAGTAATAACTCATGCTTAAAAACACTTTGTAACTTAAAAAAATCATTTAATTTAAAATATTTTTTCCTTCATTTATTTTAATTAAAGAAATTAAAATAAATGTAACTCTTGCAATTTTTTTAAAAACTTTTGCAAAATTTACTCTAAAAATAAGAACCCAAGAAAATCCCAACTTGCCTACAGATCTTATATATCTAATTGTAGGTATCATTGCCCAATACAAACTATTGCATAAACCAAACCCAAACTATTATACTTACTAATATCAGCACACTCCTTATATAGCATAACAATTTGAATCCAACAAATATTAGTGTAATGATTATCAATCTACCCATTAAGGAGTGTGACCTATCATTTTGAGCTCATGACCTATCGTTAGAGTGCTTAAAAAGTCTACTTTAAGATAAAATTGGTCTTATAGTGATACGCTAAATGTAGCCACAGAAATTACCCAACAAACATAGCTAGATCATGCTAATTTATTTGTAAAACCCTAAAAATAGAAGTTAAACGAGGGTTTTTGTTTATGCGCTCGAGCAAGTTACTTTAGGGGAGTTTTCTTTTTATGGGTTAGTGACTTAAAGTGTGAATAAATATTATAAAAGCTAATCTAAAGAACTCTAGATATCGTAGCATGAAAATATCTGGGTTTGGATTATGATGAGTGCGTAATATTGCATATTTAATGACCTCATTGCATGTATTTTAACTTAAATTTGCATTTAATTACTTAGAATTAGTCAAANTGAAAATATCTGGGTTTGGATTATGATGAGTGCGTAATATTGCATATTTAATGACCTTATTGCATGTATTTTAACTTAAATTTGCATTTAATTACTTAGAATTAGTCAAATTTATGAATAATGTTGAAATTTTGATGTTGCAGGTACCTCTGTTTTCCAAATAATGTTGAAATTTTGATGTAGCAGTACCTCTGTTTTCCAAATTTTTGATAATGATCCACTTCGAATGTGAAAAAGTATAAAACATGAAAGTTGTAGATCTATATGTCCTCTATCTTATGTCAAAATTTCAACTCAATTGGACTATGGGATCAAAAGTTATAACAAATCTACAAAAAATAGTCCTGAGCTAGCATCCCCTTTACGACCTACCAATAGAAAGTCATCAAAACCTACCGGTAGGTTTTGCCTACTAGAAAAAATCTACTGGTACGTTTCATCGTTCTATCAGTAGGTTTTGCCCAAAAATGGTAAAACTTGCTCACACGACTCCACCAACTTCGAGGGACCCACCTCTGCTCATCCAGACCATACCTTGACACAATCGACACCCTATGATGTTCTCCTAACCCCAAAAAGTCAGATTTAAAGTGAGAGACATGGGAGAAGCAAGAGAGAGAAGATGGGTTCACACATGCTAAGAGGGGGTTATGGACGAAATTCAGTAAGTCTTACACCATATATTTAGATTTTTACACAAGTTTTTGGGGAGGAGGCTACCTAAGCTTAGGAGTAGTGTAGAAAGAGAAGCTCCAAGGAAGAAGATGAAGTTTTAGAGAGAGAAAGTTAGATTTTTGCATTTCCTTCACCATTTCACTTGTATTAAGTTGTATTTTACTAGTAATCTTCATTTCTTGCATTATAATCTCCTTTATTTTAAGTGTAATCAAATTTACTTCAATGTTCTTGCACTTTTATATTTTCAATTGGGTTTTGTCTTTAAGCTTTCCATTTTGGTATGAAATGAATTCTCCTTTGTAGTTTACCGTTTCCTACCATTAACAAAAGTTCTAAGCTTCATTTCATTTCTATTTTCAGTCCATTTCATCTACATGTCTCTTTACATTATAAATGTTTTTACTTTAAACATGAGTAGCTAAACTTTTAGTTGGCTAATCCAAGGGAGACTTCCTCTTGGGTATGCTAAATCAACTCTTCTTCATTCTACCTCTTAGTGTACAGTGCTTGGTAGGACTAGGCTAAGTGCGGACGTAGCTGTGAGCTCTTGATACACCATAGACTTGTCACGGGGTATGCTTAAGCCTACATTCCACATTGGTCCCCTCACTTCCTATGAATCAATCAAGCACCTAGATAGCATTGGTTGAATGAATTGAGTTGATTCAGCATTCCCATTGGAATGACCTTTTTGCATTAGCCAACCTTGTTTTTATTGCATTTCTACAACCAATCTTCACTCACCAAAACACCAATTCACAAGATTTTACATTTTTCCATTTTTACAAAATCACCTTCATCACAATTCAACCTTCATTCCCTAAAGAGAAAACCTTGGAATACCCATTCCAAGTAAAA